TAACTGAATGAATACCTATTGAAAATGCTGTATAGTTATTCAGAAAAAATGAAATTTGCATGTAAATGGATGGATCTAGAAACAATCATTCTGAGTGAGGGAACCCAGACCCAGAGACAAACATGTTTTTTTTCTCATCTGTGGATGTTAACTTTGAATCATCAGATATGTGTGTTTCATTTGAAATACTCATAGAGTCAGGAAATTACCAAGTGGTCATGGAGAGTGGCTTTTGATGAAGGGGAGATAGAAAACACTGGTATAAAGGTTATAAAAGGATCATGGGAATAGAAAGGTTTTAACTGGGTTGGGGAGCGGAGCATAGGGTAGAAGAGGGAGTATAAGGAAGGGTAAGCAACACTAAGGACTTTCAAAAATATATAGAAACCTCCTACTGCAAAGTGTGTGTGTGTTTGTGTGTGTGTGTGTGTGCGCGCGCACGCGCGCGCGAGTGCGTGCTGTGGTATATTCTGTATGCTGTGAATATGTGTTGCTCTGATTGATTGATAAATAAAATGCTACTTGGCCAGTAGCCAGGCAGGAAGTATATGCAGCATAAGCAGACAAGGAGAATTCTGGGAAGAGGAAGGCTGAGTGAGGAGATGTCAGCCTGTCGTCCAGGGAGCAGCATGTAATGGCACACAGGTAAAGCCATGGAAAACATGGCAACATATAGATTAACAGAAATGGGCTGAGTTTAACTGTAGGAGCTAGTCAGTGGTAGGCCTGAGCTAATGGCAGAGCAGTTTTAATTAATATAAACCTCTGTGTGTTTACTTGGATCTGAGCGGCTGTGGACTGGGCAGGACACAGGAGAAAAACTTCAACTATGCGTGCGTGCATGTGTGAGTGCGTGCGTGCGTGCGTGTAAAGAGTCAAATTAGAGCTACCCTATAAGGGTCAGTAATACCTTTACCAGCTAACAAAGAAAAAGCCCATTGCCAGGAATTGTTTATTTATTTTGGAGCTGTCCAGTGATAACCCATGGATTCCCAAATGTTACTGTCTATTGCCACTGCTTTTTGGTTACCTTCCAGAACTTGATGATAAAACTCCATTGCTGAAGAAATAATATACTTGATTCATAGAACATGGCAAAATCAAGCTGGTACATACCTTGTAGCTTCATCCCTATTGGCTAGCTTTCATAGAGTTGGAAGGTGAGATTAAAGCTACCAGAGGAAAAAAGCAGATACCAGCTATGAACCATCTGAGTTATAATAATGACTGGCCTGGCAAGACATGTCCACTGGTGCAATAGTAGAACAAACATCAAGGGAGTAAACTACAACTTTCGGTTTAGATTTAAGTTCCACTCTACAAGGTGAAATACATACCTGTGATCAGTTTGGGGCCAGGAACCTATGGCTAGACCGGACTACCACTGTTATTCTGCTAAATTGACATAGAATTAAACCAACTCTTTATGACTTATCATTATATCTATAGATCATTGCATCTCCAAATACCCTCTGAAAAGTTTCTATTTGCAGTAGATGGTGATTAACATGGTGACCCACAACTGGCCAAGATTCAGAGAATAAGAGATTACAGAATGCCCAGCCTCAAATGAAAGATATATACCAACCCTCCCATCCAACGCCTTGTGGATCATTTTGGAAAAGGCGGAAGAAAGAGTATAAGAGGTAGAAGAGGTAGATGACTCCATGGAAATATCTTTTGGACATGGCAGGACAGCTGTACACATGAATTCCCAGTGGTTGCAAATATATGCCCAAAACCTGTGCAAAACCAAGCCCGATAAAATCTCAATGTAGAAGGGCAGCTGGGATTACAATCACACCCCATCCCTGGAGACATTGCCAATTGTTAGCTGTTGGGAAAGGGAAAGACAGTTTTCTCTAAACCCCTGGTAATTTGACCATGATCCAATAGATGACCACACACCCAATAATGTTTGGGAAGCACAAATTTACCTTGAAGGATTTAAAAATATAAGATGCAAAGTTGTGTGGATAAAGAAAGGGAGGATGAATTTGGGAAGTGTTTGGGAAGGGAGATGAATATGATCAAAATAGGTTGCATGAAACTCTCAAAGAACCAGTAAAAAAAAAAAAGTAAAGTTGTAATACATTTTCAAAGTAAAATATTGGATTTTAATCTACATTAAACTGATACTATTTCTATGAGGAACTCCAAGCCCCATTTTAATTTCAATTAAGTTTTACATCAACAAAATGTAAGTTCACATTTCAATATATTTCCACAGGTGGAAACCCAATCAAGAAATTTCATTACTACCTCCTTGTTCTTTGCAGTTTTTAGTGGCTACCCCTCTAAAGGCTATCAGCATTAGATGTATGTAATTTTGAACTTATATTTGCCCTACTTTAAATTTTCTCTCTTCTCATCCTCGATCTAGATATTTATTGACTGTTTTTGATGTTTTTAGTTTATTTAAGGATCAAGGCAAAAATATATCATATGTTTATTCCAATGACAAACTTTTGTTCTGAATTTTATTATATTTATTCCATGAAATAAAAAATAATAGCAGTAGCCACACTCAATGAGCACTTAGTATGATCCTCATAAGTGCAGTGTCACTTGTTTAAATATCTCAACAACTTATGAAATAGTTATTATAAGTTCCACTTTTATTTTACTTCCTAATAATAATTTTTATTCTTTGAAAGTTCCATACATTTATATAGTGTATATTGATCATATCCATCTATTGCCACCTTTCTTAGTTCCCCCACTCCATCACCCTACCAGTTTCATGTTCTCATTTTATTTTATTTGTTATCAATAACTCTCTGGGTCCAATTAGTGCTGTAACTATACATACTGATAGGTGGCCATCCACTGTTACATGAGCAATCTATCAATGGCCACATCCCCCAAAGAGTTATACTCCCTTTCCCAGTAGCCATCAACTGCCAATAGTTCTTCAGTTAGGGGTGAGAGCTCATCATTCCCTCTCCCATCTATGCTCTATTTTAAGCAGTCTTGATCTTGTACAGGTCTTGTGTAGGTCACCACAGCTTCTGTTAGTTGATACATGCAATAGTCACATCATGTACAGAAGTCTGTATTTCATAGCTCTCCTACCCATCTGCTAGCTTACTTTCTTTTTGTTCCCTTTCCATGATAGTCCCTGAGTGAGAGGATGATACAGATGACCCATCCAAGCTTAGTAGCACTCAGAGTTCCTAATACCTGGCACTTTGAACAGTTACGAGTCACTAAATTTACCACTACGCATTGCAAAAAGAAGTTGCTTGTAGAAGGCCCCAGTGACCTGTCACTAGACTATGTAAGCAGAATTCTTGAATGACAACAGTAATTTGTAAGTTCTGAATCATGTAGGGCTGGGATTTGTCTTAAAGTCCATTAAAAAATAATTGTGACGGCACACACCTCTAATCCTAACACTTGGTAAGCTATGTTAACTATTGTGTGAGGCCAACTGGGGACATATAGTGAGTCTCTGTCTCAAAAGAAAATTGCAGTGGATAATGCAGAGGAAAATCCCATAATAGGAAGAGAATTAAATTCTATTATTTGTAAATTTTGTTACAAATAACAGAATTTTATGTTTATTTTTGATATATATATATATGGATATATATACACAAGAACTTTGCTTTCACCATAATAGAATCAAACAAATAAAATTGCTTATACTAAAAATGAGTATTTATATTTTCATACTAATACACTAATATCATAAAGTATGTATCTAACTGGCATGGTATTATAATAAAAACAGCTTACTATTAAACTATTAAATAATTTTTTCATAATAAATTATACAGAATTAGGATGAGCAAAGTAGGTAAAAATATTTTTTATTCAGGGTAACAAGAAGTTTCCTCCTTGAGCTCACAGTATTGCCATTTTATTAATAGTCAGAAACCAGGAGTAGGATATAAAATAAAAGAATGGATAAATTCCAAATAGGAAATAGTACATAAAATATATTTGCCAGTAAGCAGGAGAAATAATAAATTTTTGAGATATAAAAGGGTGATACAAGGTGAACTACAGTTTCACTTGGTAGAAGATATATAGCAGATATAGACACTATAGTGCTAATATCCTGATGATGCAAACGTGTGTGTGTGTGTGTGTGTGTGTGTGTGTGTTGTGCGTGTTGTGTGTCTTGTGTGTCTGTGTATAAAAGAGAGGGCCAGAGAGAGAGATACAGAGAGAGATATATTAGGTTTTAGTGAGAAAGAAATATTGTGGCCATGTCTAAGCTTAAGAAATTAATATTGTCAATTATACATTTACTTGATATAATAAAAATCACATGAATTTCTATAAAGTGATGGTTGAAAAAATAAACAATGTAATCATATCTGTCTATAAAATAAATCCTAAATTTTTTTCTAGGCCAGAAACTATATTTCTTTTTCTAAACATTGCCTGTTAGAGTGAAAAGTTCAGTGTCCCAAATGAATTACATTTGCATTTGCTGTCCTAATACTTCCCTCTTCATCCCTTTATTTTCTCTCCCTATCAGCTCTCCTTACCTGTTTCTGTCTTTATTGCATTTTCTAATTTCTCTTTTTCTTATTGCCAATGTTATACACAATTGTGTCTTCTGATTCTTGCTTAGCAATCCCAGTAGCCATGAGGTCAGAGATTCTAAGCAGTGTTGAAAATTGTATTCATAGAAAAATGTTCCAAGTAAAGATTCTTCTTTGGCAATAGTAAAACATTATGAAACATAGTATAAAGATAAACAGATAGTTTTAGGAAATAATACAGAGTTGAGGATAAACACAAACAGTATACAATTCATACAAAAATCTTAGAAGCAGGAACAAGCAGGTACCAGGAACCAGTAAGTCTGCAATGAAAAGTTAATTAGCAATTTACACAGTCTGAAATGAAAAAGTTCAAAATCCATCTTCACTTATCTCCTATATAAGCCACTCACAATCTCTGTTTGCCAGCTGGATATCATAACCAGCAGGAGATCTAAGTTCAGTTGTTAGGACTGCTAAGGGTTCTGCATTTGTCTCACAATGGCGGATTGCACATTTATGCTGACTCAATTTCTGTTCATCTGCTGTTTTTTGATGGTACACTGCACACAACGTAAGAAATTTTTACTTGCTTTATTTCTATAGGTTGAAGATTTAATGAATTAATTAGGTTTCAATGTCCAAGCCTTAGGAATTAACCAGCATTTTAAGCAAAAGTTCTGCTATTAAAAATTTGCAATTTCTGGACATATCTTTTATTTGAGATGTTTACTTTCTGAAGGATGTTTTTCTTCTGAAGCTAATGTGTTTCTTTCTGATTCTTTTAGATAAACATGAAATATGAAAAATTTTGTAGGAAAAGAAGTTAAAATTTTAGTTGAGTGGATGCTGGAAATAGATTTAGGCTACTTATATTTAACAATTTGTTTTTCAGAATGTGTAAATGCTGTAATTTGTTTTTCAGAAGACTTTCAAAGTGCAATATATTAAGTTATATACTTATTTGTTATAATAAAATCATATAGATTGCTATAAAGTGATGGTTAAAGAAATAGAGGATGTAATCATATGTGTCTATAAAATAGTCTAAAATTGTTGCCAAACCAAGAACTATATTTCTTTATCTGAACATTGCCTGGTAAAAACAGATAGGGCTTAAATTTCCCCTAAACAGCAATATTTGGTTCAGTAATTGTGGTAGGGATTTCTGTAATGTGCAGTTAGAGGGAACATTTTGGTCAGCTAAAGTTGCTTTCATATTTAAAAAATGAGAATCAAATTTTCAGTGTACTCTACTGTACTTTTGGTTTTGCTTAATAATTCCATTATGTTTTGTGATGTTTCTCTTTTGTTCCTTTGAATAATATATTTGAATAGTAAAATCAGGAAATGTTTGGTTTCCTTCTTATGGAGTGCCCAGGGTCTGGGGGCAAAGCTATGTCTGGTGTAGGATATCTGAGGGAAAAGATCTACTTACACTATGTTTTTATGTCTGTTAACTTTATTCCTCTAAGACAAAATTACATCAATTCAGCTATAGCTCCACCAGGCATTCAAGGCAGGAACAACTCTAGACATATCAAGCTCTGTATTCATCTACTTTATTTCTCTGGGATGAAATCCTGTCTCCATAACTGAAGTTCCATCCAGCTCCCTAGCTCATAGTTCAGCTAAGGACTAAACTCTTATGCTTCCAGCTTCATCTTTGTCCTCTGTATCCTCTATCTCGATCTCTGCCACTCTCTACTCTTGGCACTCAGAAAATTCTACCCAAGATCTGCTTACCCTCTACCGAACCACTGTTGTCCTCTCTTCTCTCTGACCATGATGTTCTGTCCCTGTCTACAGAAAATGCCTGCCCTTTCTTTCCCTGGACACATGGTTCCCTGCCTCCTCAAGAATGTTGTTTTACCTCTCACCTTGATATGCAAAAACCTCTTTTGTTCTCAGTCAAAATGCTCTGGAGAACCACTAGGCCTCCTCAAGGCAAGGGGATGGTCGCAGCTTCATTAGCACAAGAAACAAAGCTAGGCCTCTCTGTGGGCTTGTTTCCTACCTAAACTCAGTGGGGCTGTTAGTAATTTAGTAGGTTCAGCAGGTCTGGAGAGCTGAACTGTTTACCAATTGGTCTAGGCATGCAAGGATTTCATAGCAGAAGACAGCTGGAATATTAAAGGCTGGGTAACACCAAATATTCATAATAAATATCTTTGCCCTTTTACTGACTCTTGGCCAGTCAAAGTTCAGCTTTAATACACAGCTGAATCTCTATGATATATTCTTGCATCCTGCAAGACCTTCTGGGTTCTACAAGTCTGATCTTCATTATCTACCATCTCCTGTGACAAACAGATACTGTGATTCAGACAGTTGTGAAATCTCACTCTATAAATATTTTGTTTTTGTGTCTGTGCTGGTGGAGGATCAAAATAATTCACCATTTGGTGGGGGAATTAAGATTTTTGTGCTTTATGGGTCCTATGATTTGTAACAAGCTTTCTTCACTTATTTTCAGACTCTAACCTTTTTCTCAGTTCTCAGTGGGAATGAGTTACTGCAGCCATAAGAATAAGTCTTGGCAGAATAAGTTTATTTGGAGGCCTTGAAAAAAATCATTCCGTATTGGGGCTGACGTGCCTGTTACTGTTGGTGGCTTAGTAGTTGGGGTACTTTTTCAAAATATTATTTTTGAAAATAGATTCTTTTCTCATACAATACATCCTGATCACAGTTTCCCCTCTCTCCACTCCTCCAAGCTACCCCTTTCCTCCCCTCTGCCCCTATCCACTCCTCCTCTGTTTCCCTTCAGAAAAGATCAGGCTTCCAAGAGACAACAGCCAAACACAACAAAACATACAATGAGTCAAGGAAAGGCCCTCACACTGAGGCTGGACAAGGCAAATCAATAGGAGGAAAAGAGTCTCAAGAGCAGGAAAAAGAGTGAGAAATACATCCAATGGCTTCTTTAATCTACCTGTGTATATCAGTGTTGTTTTGTCAGGAAGGGGATGCAGTTGTTTTCCAGGATAATAGGAATAAATTGAGGTTAAGCATGCCAGCTGTATACTGCCTCTACCTTTGGATAGGATGCTTTTGTTTCCTATCCAGAAGAGTATACTCAAATTTTGTATGAAAAAAACATTAGCCTGGCCTAGAGTCAGGAGACAGCAAGAGGTGGGTGATTAGGGCATGGGTCCAAGGTTCCCGGTTCCTGTGTAGTTAACCTTTGGCCCTGGCCCTGACTTGTTTCCCTGACGGCTTTGGCCTCTCCTGCTCTTCAATGTGCACTTCTCAGCTGTCACTGCAAACACTCCACTCTCCACCTTCCCTGCTGCTGCTGCAGCATCTCCAGGCCTATTGCTATAGTGCCCACCTGAATGTCAGTAAATAGCAGCTGAAGCACAAAAAAAGAAAAAGAAAAAGAAAAAAAAACATTATATAACCTTTTGCCCATAATGCTATGGTTCAACTTTTAAAGTCATATTTTCAAAATAAGCAGTTTAAAATAGTGTAAAGAAAAGATATTTGGATATTCATCATGAATTTTGAGGCCTAATCCTTATCAAGATAATGTTTGGAAATCTTAAAGTAGCATAAACTTATTTTCATTTTGTATTTAAAATTCTTTTATTCTTTAATGAAAATATAATTTCATTATTTTCCCTCCCATGTCTGTTTCCTCCTGCTCCTTCCCACATGAACAATTTTCTTAACACTCAGAACTTTTGACATGTGTAGTATGTACATTTGAAACATTTTTTTTCCTGTTTTTGAGATGGTTTTAAATTTTACTGTTTACAGCCAACTGTACATCTGTGAGAGACTTTGATGATTGTCTAGGAAACACAACAGATTTCTGCCCAAAGGACATTGTCTGTGCATGCAAAGATGGAAAGCCTTTCTGCAAGTAAGTAGTATTTTATGCTGTAGAAAAAGGAAACATGGAATATTGTAAATAATTTTGTCTGTTTTTATTTGTTTGGTATATGCAATGATGTAACACTTGAAAATAATAATGTAAACAGAAACAGCTTCTATGCACATGAGACAATGGTTGTGGTCTTCCTAGATGCTTTCTTTTGAATTTGTAAAATTAATACCATTTAGATTTGCTTTCTGCAGATAGTCATTTTACAGCTAGATTTTATATTCTTAGTAAACTATTTTATAACTCTAACAAACAAGGAAAAATTAGGTGTGTATCATTTTATTCAGTAATGAATAAAAGTCTTTTGTTTGTAAATCTAGATATGATTTAGATATATTATGACATATGAGAGGCTTTCTTTTTTTCCAGTTTTTAAAGCATCAAAGTATGTTGAGTCATAATTTTTTATTTTAAAATTCAAACAGATTTTCTATTTTTTCTAACCATACAAATAAGAGTGATTAGAAGAAAAGATAGTATATGAATAAGAAAGCTTGCCTCATTGACTGAAAAAGAGGATAGATAGACAGGGAGGACCAATAATGAAAATGAATAATAACATCACTGTGTATAGAAAAAGGCTCTGAAGTTTGAAAAATTTTATAGTTGGACAAGTGCAGATAGATTATGCTGTAGACATTACAAATGACTGTACTTTCATTTCCATATATGTACTATTTTATCTCTCTCCTTTATATAGATGTATTCAATGAATCAATCATTGAGTAGAAGTGTTTGCCTAGTAATACAAAATACTGGAATCACTGAAAACAATGAAAAATGATTTTAAACAGTAAGGCATTGAAGTTGACCCTGGTGGCATGTACATGTATTCTCAGCAGTTCTGGAGTTGGGGGCAGAGGGACCACTTAATCCCATGGGTTCCAAGGTACTCTTGCTGCAAAAGAGCAAGAGCCATATCTCAAAAACAGTAACAACAAAATGAAAACCTTTCCTTTTTTCTGCTTTTATTGAACATAGACTACTTTCTCTTACAACATATCTTGATTACAGTTTCTCCTCCTTCTACTCCTCCCAGTTCCTCCCTGCCTCCCATCCCCTCTGGATCCACCTCCTTTCTGTCTCTCATTAGAAAAGAAAGGGCTTCTGAGAGATAACAATAAAACATGACAAAATAAAATGTAACACGATGAAGGAAAAACTATCATTTTGAAGTTGAACTTGGCAACCTAACAGGAAGAAAAGAGTCCCAAGGGCAAGCACAAGAGTCAGAGACCTATCCATCATTCTCACAGGAGTCCAATAAAAATGCTAAGCTAAAAGCAATAATATATATATACAGATGACCTGGTACAGACCCATGAAGGGCCTGTGCTTGCTACTTCAGTCTCTATGAGTTCATATGAGCCTTACTTAGTTAATTCAGGGGGTCTTATTCTCTTGTTGTCCTCAGTCCCCTCTGTCTCTTAAACTCTTTCCATGTCCTCTTCCTTGGGATTCCCTGAGATTCAAGGGGAGGGATTTGATTGAGATATCCCATCTAGAGTTCTGTGTTTAAAGGTCTCTCTGTGTACTGTCTGGCTGTGATTTTTGTATTTGCTCCTTTCTGCTTCAGGAGGAAGCCTCTCTGATAATGACTGTATAAGGCACTGGTCTATGAATGTAGCAGAATATCATTAGCAGTCATTTTATTGATACTTTTTTAGACTAATAGTGTTTGGTTTTACCCTAGGTCTCTAGGATATGGAGTCTGTTGTTCTTGGCTACCTTAGCAGTGTCGGGTATGGGTTCCTTCTCATGGATTAGGCCTTAAGTTAAATCAGATATTGGTTGGTTACTCCCACAAGTTTTGTGCCACCATTGCCCTAGCATATTTTTCAGGAAGGATAGATTTCAGGTCAAAGGTTTTGTGGCTGTGTTGGTGTTTACATTTCTCTTTCAGTAGTTTTCAGAGTACCTTCCCACACCAAAAAGGCTAGAACATAGGGGTGAAGGTTCCATGTAGGCATCAACTTGATTTGTTCGTGTGTGTGTATGTATGTGGAGTCCTCCATGATAGGGCCCTGATGTAAGTTTTCAGAGAGCAGCCCTTTGGCTTAGCAACAGCCTGGGTTGTTTGGGGATTTCCATAGGATCATCTTTGCCAAAAACTCAACTGAATGCGACCACTGGAAGCCTTGCCTGGCTACAAGAGATGGCCAGTATTAAGATTCTGTATCCTTATGACTAGGAGTCCTCATTAAGATCACCTTCATACATTCCAGGAAGTCCACACATCCCCAAATGTCCCCCAATTCCAGCCTTTTCTCTATTTACCCCATCTCTCCACAACATGACCTCCAGCTTCCATCCTCCTAGAGCCCTTCTCTTTACCTCTCTGGGTTTAGGGGATTACAGCTTGGTTATCATTTACTTAATGACTAATATCCACTTATAAGTGAATATATACCATATTTATCCTTCTGGGTCTTAGTTATCTCACTCAGGATGATTTTTTTTTCTAGATCCATTCATTTGCCTGAAAATTTCATGATGTCATCTTTTTAACAGATGAGTAATACTCCATTGCGTAAATGCACTGTGCTTTCTTTACCCATTTTTCTGTTGAGGGTTGTCTAGGTTGTTTCCAGTTTCTGGCTATTATGAATAAAGCTGCAATGAACATGTTTGAGCAAGTGTCCTTATGGTAGGAAGGAGCATCCATTGGATATATGCCCAAGGTTGGTATACCTGGATCTTGAGGTAAATCAATTCCCAACTTTCTGAGGAACCACATATTAATTTCCATAGTGGCTGTACAAATTTGCACTCCCACCAGCAATGGAGGAGTATTCCTCTTACTCCACAACTTTGTTAGCAGGAATTGTCACATGTGTTATTTATCTTAGCCATTCTGACAGGTGTTAGATGGAATCTCAAAGTAGTTTTGATTTGCATTTCCCTAGTGGCTAAAGATACTGAACATTTAAGTGTTTAATTGAGTTCCCTCTATTGAGAATTCTCTTTTTAGATTTCTACCGTACTTTTTTTTATGTTTTGTTTATATATATATATATATATATATATATATATATATAATTTTACAATACTATTCAGTTCTACATAATAGCCACAGATTCCCTTGTTCTCTCCCTTCCTGCCCCCCCTCCCCCCAGCCCACCCCCCATTCCCACCTCCTCCAGATCAAGGTCTCCTCCAAGGACTGAGATCGACCCGACAGACTCAGTCCAGGCAGGTCCAGTCCCCTCCTCCCAGATTGAGCCAAGCGAGAAAGAGGAGGGTTTATATGAGCAAGAATTGTTGAAACCAATGTTGGATAAAGCACAGGGACAAATAACCAAATGAATGGAAACACATGAACTATGAACCAAAGGCTGAGGGGCCCCCAACTGGATCAAGCCCTCTGAATAGGTGAGACAGTCTATTGGCTTGATCTGTTTGGGAGGCATCTAGGCAGTGGTACCAGGTCCTGGGCTCATTGCATGAGTTAGCTGTTTGAAATCTACCACACTTTTTAATTAGAATATTTGGTGGGTTTTTTTTTTTGATATGTAGTTTCTTGAGTTCTTTATATAGTTTGGATATCAGCCCTTGGTCAGATATGGAGTTGGTAAAAACTTTTCCAATTCTGTAGGCTGCAGCTTTGTCCAATTGACCGTGTCCTTTGCCTTACAGAAGCTTACAGTTTCATGAGGTCCCATTTACTATTTGTTGATCTTAGTATCTGTGCTATTGGTGTTATATTCAGGAAGTCATCTCTTGTGCCAATGTGTTCAAGGCTATTTCCCATTTTCTCTTCTATCTGGTTCAATGTGTCTGGTTTTATGTTGTGGTGTTTAATTCACTTGGACTTGAGTTTTGCGCAAGGTGATAAGTGTGGATTTATTTGCATTCTTCTATGTTTGACCAGTATCATTTGTTTAAGATGATGTCTTTTTTTCAGTGTGTATTTCTGTTTTTTTATCAAAAAACCAAAACTTTTAATGATAAACTTTTTCATAATTATATCTTGCATATTTATTTTTTCTCCTTTTTATTTATTCTTTGTCTTTACATATCATGTATCTCCATCCCATTCTTTTCTGTCTCTTTGTATCCACCCTTTGCCCTTGCAACCTCTCTCCCAAAATAAAATAAAGTAAAATTTAAGAGAAGAAAAAAAGATAAAGAAAAAAATCAATCTTATCATGGAAGCTGTAGTGTGACAAATTGTACCCTTTTATTCATATATCTTTATTTGCAAGTGTTCATTGCAGAGTGTCATTGGTCTGGTTCAAGGGGTCTGTTTTCTGCTACACTATCAATACCATTACTGGAATTCCCCTTGGTTATCCTGCTGTTATCTTGTGTTGTGGAGATCCTGCAGGTTTGGGTCTGCATTACTGGCCCCTTCATGTGCTTCAGCAGATCATAAATGGGGTGCATGTTGGGGTGGGCCAACTCATAACCCTGGTTATGGGCCTGGGTAGTTGCAGGGTTAGTCAGCACACTCCCTTGTCCTTGTCATCAGGGTAAGTTCTTGTCCCTTGTCCCTTGTCATCAGGGTGAGTTCTTGTCCCTTGTCATCAGGGTGAGTTCTTGTCCCTTGTCCCTTGTCATCAGGGTGAGTTCTCCTGCATTGTACTGTTGAGTTCACCCTTTGCAGCAATGAGCTGTGGGCTGGGCCAGTTCTCCTGCTTTTGTGTTCCTAGTGTCAGACCTCACACACCTACACCTTCAGGGTCAGCTCTACTCTGTTGCCCAGGCAAGGTATAGGAGCCACTCTTCTGAGTGCTGAAGCTAATGTGGGGCAGGGCCAACTCCTGTAGTTGTTGTTTTTTACTCTTTGACTCTTGGGGGCCTGCCACCCAACTCCCAAATAAATACACAGAGGCTTATTCTTACTTATAAATGCTCAGCCTTAACTTGGCTTATTTCTAGCCAGCTTCCTTAACTTCAATTATCCCATCTACCTTTTTGCCTCTAGGCTTTTACCTTTCTCTATTTCTGTATATCCTTTCTTTACTTCTTACTCTGTG